TGCAATGTGCCTATGAATTAGATATCTAATTCATAGGCACATTGCATTGTTGAGAGTTTTCCCAATTTAGGTGTGGTGTTCATTTTCCATGCGACTTGATGTCCAACTTAGAACCTTGCTCAAACCCGAACGATGACCTGGCCAGTGGCCTTCCAGTCTGAGGAAGGAAAGGAGTTAAAACAACCACTAGTAAAGTTTTTCTTTTTTTTTCTTTTACATACTATCAAATTGATTTGTGCTAAAATGCTTAGAAAGGATCTTATATAGATCCAGCCAAGAGGATGGTTTTTGTGAGTTTGGATAGGTAACTAAGAAACTCTTGCAATATAAAAAAAAAAAAAAAAAAATAGAGGGAAAGCAAAGAGTTTCGTAAAATTGTGCCAGATTATCAGCCGTTTCCCACAATAGTTTACGGTGTGCAGCTTTCTCTGGCAATGCGGTATTTATGTTTTCTGTTTCATTTTCTATTTGGGGCTAAAATGGCCTGGTCTTCACCTCAATATGATGACAGAGAAGGCATTTTACTTTCCAGGTGCCTGAGAGCATACTCTGAATGGGGAGGATGTGAAATGCAGAAAAAGAAGAACTCTATAGCAAGCACCAAATGGTGAGAAGATTACCTTCTTTCTGTGAAAGATACTGTTACTCGTGCGTCGTTTTAACTCTGTTGCCTATTCTCCGAAAACAATGTGTATCAAGCAGTGATGGAAACTTCTTTAGACCAGCCCTTTATCCTTCCTCCTCTCGCTTTTTGTTTTTATTCGGTCTTCCTTTCCATTTCTACCCTTCCTCACGTATTCTGTCTCCCTTTATGTCGTTAACTAGAGAGAAGCATGAAGTTGGTTACAAGGCGTTTGAAAAGTCTTTCCCCGCTGCCACCAAGAATACGGAGGTATCGGAAAATACAGAACCGTCTGGGTCTTTGGGCCTTTTTCAGATTCTTCTCCATGGCTTGAAGTTATTGTGAACTGAGACGAAGCAGTATTACCTGGGGGATTAACATAAAGTTACTGTGTGGGGTGCCTGGGTGGCTCAGTCAGTTAAGTGTCCGACCTTGGTTCAGGTCATGATCTCACGGTTCATGGGTTCGAGTCCTGCATCTTTCAGCTCAGAGCCTGGAGCCTGCTTCAGATTGTGTGTCTCCCTCTCTCTCTGCCCCTCCCCCATGTGTGTGCGCGCTCTCTCCCATGCTCTCTCTCTTTCTCTCTGTCTCAACACTAAACATTAAAAAAATTAAAATAAAGTTACTGTCTACAGTTAACTTCAAGGCTTATTAGAGGCTGGTGAGCCAGAAGCAAAGCTGTAAAACTGTTGCACGACATATTTTTTCTTAACTGAATGAGCCTCAGTTTCTTTGTCTGTAAAACTGGGGGGGGGGGGGGGCATACTAATACAAAATGACTATTAATTATAGGAGAGAGGTTCTAAATCGTGGGAGGACCTTAATGGCCTTAAATTTCAAGATAAGAAATGCGGATTTATGCAACAAGAAGTCATCAAACTCTTTTTAAGCAGGTTAGTTTAAAAAAAAAAGTTTATTTATTTTGAGAGAGAGAATCCCAAGCAGGTTCTGTGCTTTCAGCACAGGCCCCAGGGTGGGGCTCAATCTCGCTAACCATGAGATCATGCCCTGAGCGGAAATCAAGAGTTGAATGCTAAACTGGCTGAGCCACCCAGGCGCCCCTCTTAGGTTGGTTTTAAGAAGATTGGTGTGACGGCAGTGGGTAGCAGAGATTGGCATTAGGAGAGACTAAAGGCAGGCAGATTATTTGCGATGCCCAGGTTATGTTTAACGATAATAACTGCTAACATGACCATATGCCGGGCACTGTGCTCATGTCTTTTTTGTTTGTTTCCATGTTATCTCCTTTGATTTCTTCACAGATGAAGAAACTGAGGCACAGAGCAATCAAGAAATCAAATGCAGTTAAGAAATTTACCTAAACTGTTAACTTAGGATGAGGTCACCATCGACGAGCTGAGTAAGGTTAACCGAAGAAAGGCCAGGATTTGACCCCAGACTCTGTGGCCCCAGAACCCTCACGCTTAAACACTGCGGTGCACCGTCTCTAACGTGAAGGTCAATAGCTCTCCGAGCGTCATCCATACTCACCCATTAGCATGACTTCAAAGAACATTTGACAGTTTGGGGCTCTTCCACGGAGAACGATTATTCCGTTGTCTTACACGATCTGGGTATTAAGGGTCTTGGATTTGTGAGTTTTTGTTTTTTCAGAGAACTGAAGCTCTTCCCTTCAGGCGTTTGTTTTAAAATCTTTGTTTATAGTGAACATCTTCCTAAAATATACCGTAAACTTCGCTGCCTTTCTAAAGAGTTTCTTTTTCCTCTCGAATGTGATTGATTCAGGGTTTTTAGGAATGTCAATTCTTTTTTTCCTTCAAGTTTGTTTTTTTTGATTTTTTTGTAATTTTAATTAAAAAAAATTTTTTTTAATGTTTATTTATTTTTGACAGAGAAAGAGAGACACAGCATGACCCGGGGAGGGGCAGAGAGAGAGGGAGACACAGAATCTGAAACAGGCTCCAGGCTCCCAGCTGTCAGCACAGAGCCCGACGCGGGGCTCGAACCCACAGACCGCAACATCATGACCTGAGCCGAAGTCAGACGCTTAACCGACTGAGCCACCCAGGCACCCTGATTTTTTTTTTTAATTTTTAAAAATTAAGTTATTTTTTTCTCCCAACTTTTTATTTACATTCCAGTTAGCTAACATATAATGTAATATTAGTTTCAGGAGTAGAATTTAGCGATTCATAACTTTTATATAAAACCCAGTACTCATCACGATAAGTGTCCTTAATACTCATCGCCCATTTAACCCAGCCCCTCAGTCACCTCTCCTCCTCTGAAAGCTATAGAAAGCTAAAAA